ACTTATTTTTTATATTTTAGAATTTAAAATTTAGCATTAGTTTAGAGTTTTAAGTTTTAAGATTCTTTTTGAATATTTAAATTTTAAGATTTAAATAAATATAATTATATAAACTTTAATTAGTGGGAACTATAAGCTAAAGATAATAGTAGTATTTATTATATGCATAGAGATCGTTGTTGGGGAATGACAAAGCAATAAATTTCTTTAATTGATTTCAGGTTTTAGTGGATACAAAAGCTGACCGAAAGTGAAAGCTGAAAGCAATGAATTCCAACCATGGTGGTAATCATTATCCTTAATTTATTCCCGTCTCACCCAACAATTTGTCCACTTTCTACCTCAACACTAATGTCTTTGTATCATCATCTCCAACATGCTACAACAACACTTCAGCTGGTAATGGAGGAGGGGGGGCATGCAGCCTGCCATTGACTAGAAACCTGCCAACGACCATCGCCTTCTCGAGTTCGTCTAAACTTGGCGACATCCTTGGGATCCTCCTGCAGCGATTCGCAGAGCATTTTCACAACCTCCCTGGCTGGCAGGCTTTACATGAGCCTTTGGTAATACTTTCCGGACTTTGTTTTCTCGTTAGGATCGGACAATGATTTGGTAGCCCCTACAACTCCTCGATCGACCACTTCCTTTTGGTCATCTGAATCAGCCCGTACAGGTAATATTGGAGTTGAAATGCAGTTGAAGGTCACAACAGCCAACAATGAAGCAGCGGTACGTGCTATTATGCGACGGTGATTCGATAAACACGGTGGAACAACATAACACTTGAATTGTAGTTTACCAGCTGTTTTGCAGAAGAGAAAAACAGTCGGTCCGAACACCGTAAATGTATAAACATATGCAAACTAAGCTGCTGGGAAAAGGCTAACAATATACATAAAATTCAAGTGAAAATATCATATGTTGAGGAACATATTCAACGAAGAAAACCCAATTTAACAAGTCGAGCAGATGTAGTTGAGAGAGAAGGAACCGGATTTAAAAATAAATAAAAAAAGACAGAAATAAACATAAAAAGAATTCAAATGGTGAGTTAGCAATAAGAAATTGCGATACTTTGGGCAACAACCTCCACCTATTACTGGTTTCCTCCAGATTTTCGTACGTGTTTTAGCATGGGCATTATTTCAACTAAATATTTATATTTAGTTAACATGTAATTAAGTCGATAGTTGTTCTCACTGCACTTTGTGACGGGTATCATTTGTTGGTATTAATAGTAGTAGCGTCCGTATGCATATGGACCACTAGGGAGGTTCAGCGCCAATATGTTTCTCGACATCTCATGTTGATAGTCCTACAGCTTCTGCACGCTGCGGTGATTTAATGTTCCCAGATTCAGCTTTTTGGAATGAGCATCAAGTCCGCCAATATGATTCTAAGATTTCCGATAGCTCCTGTTGTTGGGTATACGTTGATCTGAGGTGGACATTCATCCGGAGTCTACAATGTTCGCTCAAGTTATTTATGGTTGATGCACCCACAACAGGTTCCTACTTCGTCGTCACGGTTATGATGCTTCCTCGCTCGGTTATCTACTCCACCCAAAATCAGATTGTTTGGGTGGCGGGTGGTTCATGAAGCGCTTCGGTCAGCCAACAGTTGTTTTTTGTCGTGTCGGACAGTGGAACTTGTTGCCCGTGTGGTCACGCAGAGAAGACAGTTCTTCATGCCGTCTGGGACTGTGATGTGACTAGGTACATTATCTCGATAGTCGGATTTCCTGCTTATTGTCTCTCTCCACCGCAAACTTCCTGTGGTCAGTGGTTTGAGCTGATGATGTACGCTCTTCCTCCTGCACGCTTCGTCGGGTTATTGGGCCCTCTTATATCACCAGTGGCATCGTGGAAATCTGTATCTTCATGATGGTCACTTAGTACCAGGTTGGATTTGATTACTGAACTCCGTTCCTTGCAGTCTGCCTATCGCTCGGCCACATCTGCTGCTCCCTGTCTCATTTGTCTGTTTCTGGCAAAACCCCCATTCTCGGCGATCAAAATTAATGTGGTTGGAAATAACCTCGTTACTTCGACTGCAGAAGCTATTGATGCAGTGGCTCGTGATGAACACAAATTGATTGTTGCCGAATATACTGTGCCCTTGGATGTTGCCAGGATGCGTGTATCATTGGGGCCTCCACTATTACCGTTTGCATCCGTTGAGGATTGAGTTCGTTGTGCCGCATATCACAGTCGAGAACACTAAAGCCAATCTAATTCGCCAATTACTTCATCGCTAAGTTGATCTTTCTGTGACTCGTTCTCATCTTATTGAAGCACAAAGGTTATTAGATTCTAATTCGAACATATAACAATCACATGTTCGTTGCCCAGGTAATGTTGCAGTATATACTCTTGCAAAATGGGCTTCATCTTCCCATTCATCTTTGTACTTTTCGTATGAATATTTAGAGTGTATTTCATCCATTATTCTAGTTGATACCATTCGGCTAATGTTATAAACTTGCAACTTTAAGAAAACACCTAACTGCATAAATATGCCTGCTTATGATATGTTAAATAATTAACTTCCGACCACTCTTAGCTAAGTGTCCACACTTCTTATCTTCCATGGCCAATATCCAGATTTATTTTCAACCGATTCGCAGGTTAAAGCTGTTAACAATCTTACAAGGTAAACATTGTTCTCTCAGGTAATATTTTTAAGAGATTTTGTTAAAACATACATTAGAACGATTATAAAGGATAACTACATGAACTTGAACAACTAAACATAGTATTTATATCATACTTAAAAACCAATCAATCGAATCCGGTTACACTATTCCCTCTGTTAAAAGACTAATTAATCATAAGTGAATAGTAAGGAGGTCCAGCATCCCCTTCCTGCACTTTCCCTAGCCTTAGCAATGATGAACAAGAAGTATAAAGCAAACATGAAATTTCTCATTCAAAATATGCAAATACAAAACCATGCATTTAGGGCACTAAATATCCCTATCAGACAACATGAATACGTTTACAGAGGACCGTAATCATAAGCAACTTATAGAACAAATACTCAGTAACTAGCAAGAGGATAAACAAATAATTTGCATGTATTCAGCATACGTAGCAAGTCACTTAATCCACCACACACAAAACATAGCCATTAAAGATTTAATCAAGAAAATTCAGCGAAGTAGATCACAGAAAAATAAACACAATAATGCAAGTAGTCGAACACTTGACATATAATTGGCCAAATTAAATTGAAAATCACATTTCATGTTTAACTTCAAACAACAAAAGATAATAACTTAACAGAACTGTCTTTCAAAACCAAAAACAAAAATAAATCTGACAAAAAGCTAACCTAGGTGGTGAGCACAACAGCACCACCAGCCTCCTTAATCTTCTTCTCGGCAGTCTTGGAAACCAACTTAGCCTTAACCACGATGGGTTGGTTCTCAGGCAAGACACCTTTTCCAAGGACCTTAAAGTAACCGTACTGGGTCACGTCGATCATCGGAGCGGCATCCTTGTTGGCTTTGGCCTTCACGTCTTGCGGAACGAGAGACCATAGCTTGTCGATGTTAACGATGGGGCAGTAGAACTTGTTGCGGAGCTTGTGGAAGTACCTCATACCAACTTTCCCGAAATACCCAGGGTGATACTTATCAAAAAGGATCCTGTGGTGGTGCATACCTCCGGCGTTACCGCGACCTCCCGGATGCTTGCGGTGCTTGCCGATACGACCGTGTCCGGCACTGACGTGGCCGCGCTTCTTGCGGTTCTTCTTGAAGCGGGTTGTCATTTTCTAGGTTGGTGTGGAGCTTGGGGGGGCGGGGAAGTAAGGGTTCAGAGCGGCTGCGAGAGGCAAAATGAAAATAGGGTTATTGAGGGGATTTTATTTAGGAACGAGGTTTTTAGTTTCCGAGTTTGCCCTTACTCTATGGTTTTCGGCTTTTGGGATTTTCTGGATGTGGATCGGCCCTAAACACTTTGGGCTTTTGGCTCAGTGTAAGGACTGGTGATGGGCTCTAAGGAGGTAGATTAGATCTTGTACTCATGTTGTGCAGAGAGATTAGAGTTGGTCATTGGTCGGTCAAGTTGAATCTTCGATTCATTTGGATTTGACTCCTTTTCATCTATTATTCGATTTAATATGAATTTAAAAAAGTTTCATTTAACTTAAGTTTTAAGATAAAATTTCATTTTTATTAGATAAAATATAGACTTGATTAAAAATATATATAAAGAGAAAAATATTATAACAACTACCCCTAAATATATAAAGATCAATTATACAATTATTTTTGATTCTAGCCAAATTAAGTATTTTTCACTTCAAACATGAATTTAATCCGATCCGATCTTATCCTTTAAAAAAAATTCAACCATATCAAACCAAAATCTAATTTTACAAAAAAAATCTAACTCTATAGGACCAGGACGTATCAAAACATATATGATTCGAATCAAATATTCATCATTAATAGAGATTATTGAGATATTAATTCGATTTTATAATAGTTTTTTAGAATTTGTGTTTGGGACAATTTTTATATAAACGAGAAAGTTAGATGAAACAGAGTCAAATTTAAGACAAAATATGTTGTCTTGTTGGGCAGATATGTTTTAAGTAACTATATCGTACTTGTGTTTAAGCCTTGCACAACCTAATTTTCATGTGTTTTAGGATCCGTCAGATGAAGAAGATTGCACTCTTTACCCAGGAAATCCCCCATCAATCATTGACGCCAAATTCCAATCAATCACTAAACCCAAATATTCATTCAGATCCCAAACTCCGATCAATCAAGACACTGTGGATTCGAACAGGAAATGGGACACGAGATTTTGGGGTTTACTGTAGTCCTACGGCGATCGTGGTCATCATGGATGATTTATTGCTGGGCGGAAGTGGGGGCAAGCCTGACACTTTGACCATGGAATCACATGCCATTGCTTTTCTGGACTAAAAAAATGGCTTGTCGAGTTACGGTATGAGCACGGTGTGATCGAATTTGAGAAATCTGGTTGATGATATTCTTCAGCTCGGTAAGGAATTGTTTGTACAAAGAAATAGCCATTACCCAATTCAAAATCCATCACATACATCAAAGAAGGCATCCTTTTTCTGCTTCATAAATACATCATTAATACCACATTAACAAGTCACGATAAATAATTAAATGAGCATATCTATCATGATCCAGCAATAACAATCATGGTGTCGTCTTGTTTCTGTATGACGACTCATTTCTGTAGAAAAACCGCTGCTCCCACCAAGCCGAACCACACGGTCAAAGCGACCCAAAATGCCCTGTTCTTTTCCAGTCCAACAGGAGGTCGCCACACCAGAAAATCACTCAGAAAGTCTCTGGACCAGGGAAGCTGATTCGTCGTCGATCCTATTGTCTTTTGATCCCGGTCCTTGTTCTTATCGGTCCATGTTGCTGCATAGCTGAAAGTTTTCAAATAACGCATATGTTTAGCTCTAATTATCACCAACCAAAGTTGGAAATGGTGAACAAATACATGTAAATATTCAGAGATGGAGCCAATCAGCATATATACCTGTCGTAACTGGAACCAATCAGCGGTATAGTAACCATCTCTTCCTGGGTTATCTTCAGTTTGGGTGCTTGCAAAATGTATCGGAGCTCGGAAGCTTGCCGTCGAATGCTCACACTGGGATGATTCTTCTCTAATTGCTGGTACAGAGCAATGCAGTCCGCATGGCGGTTATTCGCCTCGTACGCCATTGCCAACCATATTTGAATCTGATACCATAAAAGAAAAGAAAATTAAATTCCATTTCGTCGACTCTGCTAAACACTGCTCAGATTTCAAGTGACCTTAACGGTACGACCATCAACCAACCTCACCGCCAAATAATGTCGACCTGGGAATGATGGTGAGAGCAGCTTCAAGAAACTCAATGGCGCGTCCGTACATGCCTCTTCCGTAAGCCTTTTGGCCTAATTCAAACATCAATTGCGCCGTCGCTCTCCTCTCTCCTTGTTCCTGAACCACCTGAATAAAAACAAAATTAAAAATTTCTAATGCAAATTAATTTGTTTATGAAGCGATGGAAGAACGAAGAAGGCGGAAAAGACCTTTTCGAGCTCTTTTCTCACTCTCAGCTTTTTCTGCTCCTCCGTTTCTTCTCTATCTTCACATTCACTCTCATCTGCTTCCGCTTTGCTCTGCAACTCCTCGGCTTTCTTCTCCAGCTCTCTCATCTCCTCAATTTCTTTAACTCTCTTCCTCATTTCATTCTCCCAATCGTACTCTTCCTCCTCCTCAAATCCGTTGCCGTTGCCGTTTCCATCGTCGTCGCTAGACTCCGCGTCGAAATCCACCGCCTTCGATTTTCCCCGAGCCACCGCTCGGTGAGCCCGATTCTCCCCATCCCAGTAGTCGAGTTGGTTCTTGTTGGAAAGAGAAACGTGGGAGAAAGTAGGATCTCTCTTCTGTAAGTTCAAAACGACGTCGATGGCCAACGGACAAAGTTTCCGGTCCGCTGTTGAAACGGTCCTCGCCGACGTCACGTCCAGTAACAAAGCTAAATTCCCAAGAACCACAGCCATGGCCGGAGACCGAGAGAAAAGGATAGAAAGTAAAGGAAATATATGGCGTTTCACCGCCGCGAACTTAAAGATTTTTTTAGAAAGTTGATTTTTGTCTTAATGACTAAATTACCCTTTCAAATGCCTTAAACTGAGTGAACTTTGGACATAATCTTACTTTAATTATAAATTCCATCCCTCCACTTTCTAAAAAGTGAAAAATAAGTCCAACTATCACTAGACTCGTGACCCAAACTGTTGATTTTAGGGTAAAATATAAATGCTAGTCGTTTAGTTTTAGGTTTTGAATGGATTTTAATATTGAATTTTAAAACGTTTCAATACATAGAATTTGGGTTAGGTTCAATTAAGATATTGGATCGTTAAATTATTAACAAAATGATGAGATGATCGTTCCTTCTAAGTTTTATGTAATAAATCGTTAACTTCTTCAATTGTCATCATTGAACAATCATTATCCATTATCGATCGCAATCCATGACAAAATCGATATAAAATGTTTATATTTTACCCTTGTTTTATCTCATTGGAATTGTTTTCTATTAAATATATTTAAAAATAATTTTAAAAAATAACTAGAAAATTGACATTCTATGTCACTGTCTCCTCCAATGAACGATGAATGATACTAATTTCAAGGTATATTATTTGTTTTCTCTAAATATTGTATCTCGCCATTCAATTTTTTAAACAAACATATAAAAACTCACAAATCATATAAAGCCTCCAATTTAAAAAAATGATTGATTCTTGTATTTATTTTCATGAGTTATAAATTAGAATTTAGATTTTTAAAGTGATAGAGGATGATGAGATAAATTCATTGATATCTAAGTAGTGTTATCTTAAATATTCTAAATATGTAGTAAGTAGTGTACCTGTAAATTGAAAAGTATAAGGATTAACTTTTAATATTTAAAAGTATAAAGGACTAAATTCGGAAATAAACCATGATAACTCGTGAGTTTGTGATATAGAAATAGCGCCAAAAAGAGTGTTAACGTGGTGCTACCTTTCTTACTACATAGGACGAGGCAAAAATGCCCAAATAAAGCTACTGAGAATGTTTAATTCCCAGTTTAAGGATGTTAGTCCATTATTTTCTCAAATGGGGTGAATGTTACAGGGTTGGATGCATTGCTTTGGATCTCTCGGCGTTTTCAACACAAAATTTTCCTGCAGGTGGATCTCTCGGCGTCTTCCATGCAAGGAATGCTGCAAGGCTTCCTCGTACGATAAAGCTCCCGAAGTGAAGTCTCTTAACCCATTTTTGCAACGCCATCGAACCGTCGAGCTCACTCTCGGTTTTCTCTATAACAACCCGATCTATCTATTCATCAGTATTGCTTTTAACTAATAGCTTGTTTGAATGATCAGATGATGATGACACACATCGTTTATTTACTGATTCGGATTGCAAAAACCTTCTGATTCTAGCAAAGAACTTAAGCTTCCTACTAGAAAGTAACCAAATAGAAGATGAAGAGGAAGACATGCTCTGAGTTTGAGAGGGAGACATGGTTGGAGAAGGGAAATTCAAAGAAGTGGGTTCATTGTTTATATAAACTATTGCGAACAGAAATCAGACAACCACCATTGCTCTCCATTGCTTCACCATTCAAACCAGCTTTTATCAAGACCCAACTACCTAGAAGCTTGCATGGGGGTTTTCTGCTACTGTCATCGGTTCTCACTACTGGTTTCGCCGAAGCTTTATCGTACGAGGAAGCCTTGCAGCATTCCCTGCATAGAAGACGCCGAGAGATCCACCTGCAGGAAAATTTTGTGTTGAAGACGCCGAGAGATCCTTGAACGAATCCAACACCCCTGTGAAGACGTCGAGAGATCCAAAGCAATGCATCCAACCCCGTAGCATTCATCCCATTTGAGGAAATAATGGACTATCATCCTTAAACTGGCAACTAAACATTCCCAGTAGCTTTACTTGGGCATTTTTGACCATAGACGATTGTCGTATATGTGGAAGCGAAAAAGCTTGATCCTTTCAAACACGTCATCGGAAATAATAACAAAGACTTAATATAAAAAAAATTGCTTAAATTATTATTTTTTTCATCTAAATGTTTATTGATTTAATTATTTATTATTATAAACGTTATTATTTTAAGTATATCAATCATAATAAATATTAAAAAATCTGTCAAATGACAATTATAGTGTTTAGGTATTTTAAAAGTTCTATTTTTTTGAAAAAAAAAATTAATTTTTTTTAGATAAACAAGATTTTATTATCCAAAGAAGATTACAAAACAAAGCATCCCAAACAATAAAGTCAAGCTATAAACAACAAAAGAAAAATTATCCTATACCCCAATTGCAACTAAGCTGCATATTAACAAAATCAAGATTGTTAAAAACTCTATTCCTAAGTTGAGTACTAACAATCTCCTTAATGGAAATAAGTAAATCATCAATGGTTCTAAAACGTCTTTGGAATAAGCGTCTATTTCTTTCTTCTCAAACATAGTAAATGAAAAAACACGAAGCAATCTTCAATATAGTTGTAAGAAGTGATTTTCCTTTCCAAGTCAAGGATGCTCAAGCAACAAAAGAATCCCCCAAGAAATATGAGGCTTGTTCAAAAGAGAAAGATTTAGAATTCTATTCCAAAGAGCAACAACTATAGTACAATCAGCAAACAAGTGATTCCTCGTTTCAAAGGCATCATTACATAAAATGCAAGAGTCTACGGTAGTAATCCTCATTCGAATAAGTCTTTCACGGGTAGGGAGTCTATCCAAGACTGCAAATGCTTTTAGAACTAGAAACTCCTAGTTCTAATCCTCTCTATTCTGGTCGCCGACCATCTCCGTCCATTCTTCCAATACCGAACAGTCAACCAACCTTGTCGTACACCCATTGACCGACCATTACCCTATCATCATCTCAAAACTCTAAATTCTCAGACCCTTAAACTTAAATTCTTAAAATTTTAAATACACAAATTCATAAACCCTTAATTTTTCTCCTTCAATCGCCGGGGTAGAAGCTTTGCAATGAGGTAATGCGTGATGGATCTTGGTGCGGTGGGGAAAGAATTTGTTTGCGGCAGTGACGATTTACAACAATTATGATTTGCAGTGGTATTTCACCATTATGATTTTCAGGAATTATGCACAGTTTATGGCCCAACGGTGTTGATAGTGGCCGATCGACGAGATTCGGTCATCAGGTGAAGATTTTGGTAGAGGTTCGATCGCCAGTAACAGCGGTAAACAGCGACGTTCGGCATGGCTATAGAGATTGGAATTAAAGTTTTTAAAGTTTTGGAATTTTTTTAAGATTTGAGAAAAGTTTAGGGTTTTTTAAGAATAAATATAATTTTAAGTTTTTTATTTTAAATAAAAAATTCAAAATTATATAAATGTGATACTAACGAATTTTTTTAATAATCGTTACAACTAAAATATTTAAAATATAAATGATAACATAGTTAAGTGTCCGACTGTTAAAGAAGTTCAAATGACTAGATGATCAATTCATATCAAAAGGCAAGCATTTTCATTTACTTTGATACACACTTGATGACTCTTTTTCTGCAAAGCGTCTTCATTCAGTTTTCTGTGATACATATTGCTGAGTCTCAACTGCAAACCGGTGAAGCATTACTGAATTATGAAAAGAATTGTTGTTGGAACTTTAATGTTCTCTTAACCTGTTATTTACACATAGGAGTAGGGCAATTTTCCAGCATGTAGTTTGAATATATTATTTCCCTTGATACACCAGCTTGGATCAGAGATTAAGGGACACAATAACATATGTTGTTCTTTATTTTGGCATATGCTACTTCAAATGCATTTTGATTCACACAGGTTTTAGATGGAAGGTTTGAAGCATGTTGGGTGGCATATATGTGCGTAGAAGGAGCAGTTATTCGTGTTCTACATCATTCTTCTTCTCTATCAAAATTAAAGAGAACCTTTGTCTAGGATGTGAGAAACATTGTTTTAGTTATCAGAAATTTTCTACAATGCCAGATATCATCTTTCATTTAACTTCATCACTTTGAATTTTGCTCAATTACATTGCAAAAGCTGCTGTGGCATATAGAATTCGTAAATGTATCTTTTCAATATCCTTCAAGAGCAATGGTATGTTGTCCTTAGTGTCACAAGTAGTTTAAACAGCATCTTTGGTTTGATAATGTTGGTATCTCTGTCAGTTTGGTGGAGCACAAAAGGGGGTGTAACTTTCTTCTTGTAGGTTTTCTTTTCTTTTACTGCCTTAAATGCCCTCTTTTGCTCCTTTGACTCCACAAAATAAATATAGAGAGAGAGGAATTAATTAGATTACTTCTCTTCCCTCTAAGAATTTTCCCCCTCTTACATAAGTGCACACCACTTCCAAGTCAAACTTTAACCCACAAAACAACCCAACACCTAAAGACCACGATGTCTTGTCTACGGACCATTCAAAAGGAGACGATGTATTGTTTCAGGATTTCAGCTGCATTCTTTCAAAGAAAGCATCAATCTGGAAGAGTTTCCTTCCTTCGGAGATTACTATAATTAAAGCTCTTTCTTAAGATACTTCTCAAGCAAAGAATGCTGCTTTTCTTTGGCTTCTCTCCCAGACTGTTCTCCGTAGAAGGTTTAGACGGCCTTCTCTCCCCTTTCTTGAGAATCCAGTTGAGAAACCATATAAAGTGGAAAATATGAAAATAAATTCCTATCAAGACATTGACTCTGCATATTCTTGTCTGCTGTAAATATGAAAATGCATCCCTTGGATGGATGGATTGCCCGATTATTCAGACTTTCAATATTATTTGTTGTCTCCTAATATTCCCAACAACTTAAATTTTTGGTGGATGGATCTCTCTATCTTTGTAAAAGTGTTGCTATAGCTACATGGAAACAATTAATAGTATAGATCATTTCAACAGGTACCAGTTCTGCAGCATATAAATTTATCGGTTCATCCTGGTGAAGTGGTTGCACTAGTGAGTGTTTTTTGGCTGTTGCAAACTTTCATTACTTCGTCACTGATTATGATGACTAATTTGCTATGTGCTTAATTTGATTAGATTGCTCTCAGTGGTAGTGGGAAAAGCACGATGGTGAATCTTTTGCTTCGTCTCTACAAGCCAACAAATGGTCAGGTAGAAATGTTCAATCATCGTATTCAGTTACCACTGAGCAGTTGGTGTTTGATATATGCTGCTTGGAACTTTGATCATTAGTGGGGAAATTGAACACTTTCCTTTTGGAGAGTAATCAGCATGGTGTTCTGTAGCTATTAGTTTTTTTTTTGTTTTCTGCTTAAATCTCAGCAATTTGTTTCCAATACCTGTAATTTGAATCTTATGTTATATTTGTACCTCTTTTTGCAGATTTTAGTTGATGGCGTCCCTCTTAATGAACTGGACATCGAGTGGTTGAGGGGGAAAATAGGATATGTGGGACAGGTCCTACATTTTGTTCCAGCATTGAATTTTCATCAAATTTTGGTGGATCTTCCCTCATTAATATTCATTCTGTACAGGAACCAAAATTTTTCTGCATGGACATCAGTTCAAACATTAAATACGGATGTACCAGAAACATAAAACAAGTGGATGTTGAATGGGCTGCCAAGCAGGCATATGCCCATGACTTCATCACACTACTTCCCGATGGGTATAACACACTTGTCGATGATGATCTGCTCAGTGGGGGACAAAAGCAGAGAATTGCCATTGCACGAGCCATTCTTAGAGACCCTACAATTCCCATCCTTGATGAAGCAACCAGTGCACTGGACGCAGAGAGTGAACACAATGTTAAGGTAGCCTTGTTACCGAATTCCATTTCCATTAGGAGGTTGAGCATGGAACTTGGGGCTTGTTTCTTAGTGTTTCACATGCCACTTTATCCAGAGTGTTCATCCAGAAGAACCGTCATAGTAATTGCACACCGGTAAGCTTTCAGGCTCAACAGTGAGTATAAAAGTCTTATCATGCTCTATATCTACAGAATTTCTACAATTCAAGCTGATGACAGAATTGTGGTGATGGTTCGTGGTCAAATCGTTGAGGTTGGCTCTTTTCTTGAACACTTTAATATGTGTGTGTGTGTGTTTTGTTAGAAAGCATTATGCTTTGCATTGAGAATTGCTGTTCATAGGCATAATTGTCATGCAAACTTACAGATTGGCAGTCATAGTAAAGATGGTCTATATCCACGATTGACAAGAAGACAGACTGATACTCTAGCATGAATGTCGAGTAAAATGGCATTTCGTAATTAATTTCGATTCAAGTATCCTTCAACTTTATCTCAACAAATTATCGTGTTGGATATCAAAGTCGCTTTTCACAGCTGATCAATATGTCCATAATCATCCAACAAGAATTCAGTGCCTCTTGGAACCAGGAGGAGAGGGTTACCGACAAAACAAAAGCACCATTAAGTGGGTTTCTTTGCGCTACCCCGGTCGGCAACCTGCCGGCGCTTTGAACGGTATGTGAACAGATGTTTGATTTTTAATTATTAAACCGTACTGTTCTTTGAGAGCACGAGTTTCAAGATAGAATTATAGTAAAGATTCCATAATAAAAAGATAGTGTCCTTAGATGTAGAATGTACTGATAACCGCACCGTAGTTGATAAATCAACATTCAACACCATGCTTATACAAATTTTAATGTTCTAAGCCATGTAATTTTGATGAAAAACTCTTGCAATGATTCAGAATTTATGAAAATTTCTTGAGCTTCTTTAGGCATTGTTTCAAACACTTCACTACCTGACTTCTAGGTTTACATACTCGTAATAGCTGGTAGGGGACAGAATATAGGCGATCACCGTGATCTCTTAACTAGTTGGTCGGCCAAAATAATTTTCCTATACGCTAAAAGAAAATCAAAAGGTGGATGGGTTTAAGCACCAAAATCTATGTATTTAATAAGTTTTACACTTGAAACATTTACTTCCTGTATGAAAATAATTATGTTACTTGGATTCGTATCTGAATGTCGGATACGGCCGATATGGGTATGTATCCAATACAGGTACGAATAAATTTTCATAGTTTTCTATGCATTTGGAGGATCCTTCGTATACGAATATTGGACAACACAAGTAATTCTAGTGAAATGAGAAGCCCTTTTAATAAAGCTACCGTATCAGGGTTTTACACCAGCTAACCTAACCCAAAGCAGCTGACCAAAACCAAGTTACAGTAAGCAGTGTTCACACTTCTTTAGTTAATAATTTTTGGTTTAATATGAAAAAAATGTCCAAATTATATATTTTTTCTCATTTATATCAGATATTATAAAAGCATGTCATAGACGTGATTTCTTAATCAAGATTATTCTATTTTTAAAATAAAAAAAGAGGGTGCAAATGAAAGGGAACAGTGGAATTAATTCCACAATCTGTTGTCTTTTGACCAAAGTACATATGCAAAAGTTTAGGTAAGTTGATGTTGGAAAAGAGAAGAAAAAATATATATAAACGTATCCATTAAGATAGCACATGTACCAAACTTCCATGATACATCGGATCATATAAATGTCGGCCAAAAATTAAGAAAGTTTGCGCGTCCATCAAGATCCGACGTTCACCGAATGATTAGGGACACCCGAGACCGACATTACCAGTCATGTTACACATGGTACGTGTCAACCCTTCTTAGCCCCAAATTTTGTTTTCTAACCACTCACCACTACTTTTTATTTTATTTTTAAATTTAAGTCAAAAAAAAACTTTGAAATATTTCTAAAACATTCTCTCCATAAAAAAATGTGTCATAATTTAATATTTACATTAAATATATAAAAATTTATTAAGGGGTCTCGGTGATAAAAAAATGTTATGTTCTCTATAGAATTCAAGTTTCAGTAGCTACGTCTGCAGGGTGTGTATGTTATTAGTAAGCTAAGAAAAAATTTAAATAGATATTATCTTATAATCATTCTAAATTATTAAAAAAATTTATAATTAATTAATTTATCATACATCCTCAAATTATGATCTTAATTTTAAATTGGGTTTTTTGAGATTTTGAACGCTCTCTAATATCATTCATAAGTTTAGGGATGAAATTGAAATATTTAAAAGTTTTGCTATCAATTTAAAATGGAGATCATAGTTAGGATAAAATCAGAATGTCCAAAGATTTTAAGATCAACATAGAATGAAGGCCATAGTTTAGAAATTAAATTAAAATGCTTAAAAGTTTAATGATTAATTTAAAATGAGAATCATGATTTGAAGACGTTTAATACAATTAACTCTTAAAAATATTTTAGCTTGTTATTTGGTTGAAGTTAAAAGAGTAAATATAAATATTTCCTTTTGAATTTGATTTTAAAGATTAATTTAGTATTTAGAATTCTTATTATCTAATTAGGTATTTAAATTTGATTGTTTGCCACACATATGATTTCTTTATCCTATTAGATACTTATAGTCAATTTCTTACTTTAAAGGGTAAAATACATTTGAGGTCATTAAGCTATGTCTACATGATCTCTTTTTATCAATAAACTTCTAAATATTATAAATTACCATTGCACTTATCAAATTGTTATAATATAGTCATTAAAATTTTTCGAATTCTTACAAAATAATGATTAGATTTATCAAAATTTATTACTATTTTATAATATGAAGGACCAATTATAATAATTTGATGGGTTTAATAATCATTTTATATCACTTAAGGGATTCAAGACTGAAAAAGTCATTTAGATGCAATTCAATCAAATCTGGTGTACTGTACTTCATCCTAGTTTTAATTGATACTTGAATTTAACTTTTTGATTTATTTTTATACTTTTAACTTTTTGTTAAATGAATCTAATTTAAAATAATTCGATTTAAATAAAAAAAGTCATGTTCATACATCGATTTAAACTGAAAAAGTAAACTCTAGTGTCGAAATAAGAAAATAAAAATTCGAATACTAAATTAAATAATGAAATTAACTTTAAATACCAAAATATATATACTCTTTGATATACTTTTCCCACACATATGGCCTTAGAGGCATTTGAAAAGAAAGGACAAAAAGAGCAGACGAAACGACAGCCGACCTTTGACTGTATACGAGCTACGAGGGACGCAAGTGACGGAATTGCCGGCTCCGTATGGTTGAGTGTTAAAAGGCTCAGGCCGCTGAGTCACTCACTCGATTCACATATGGCAAAGCGGCCCCATGCCACGTCTGAACGGCATGTAACCTCTGGAGTTTCAACACCTTATCTTATCCCCCAGTGGCGGATTCACTATGATTAGAGGATAGTACGTGTTTATTAATTATATTTATCTTATATAAATTTTATATTAATATATATATATATTTATCTCTAAAAATATTTTAGATATACCACTATTTTATCTAAAAAAATTGAATGTTCTCAAATAATTATTCCTTAAAATTAAAATAATATATGTCATATCTTAAATTATTAATATCATTTGTATCATTTTATTAACACATCATTAATTCTATTAGTTTTTAAGGTTATAATAATTAAATATGTTTATCTTTTAAGGTCGTGAGAATTGAACATGAGTTTTTTTAACAGTACAAGTCACGAGTGACTATCAAGTAGTATATATTTAGAATTTTTCTTAACTTATTAATAATTCACATATATCTTACAAAAACAATTATTTGAAGTTAAGTTTTTTAAGGATAATAATATTCAAATCTTCCACTAATATCGCTTCATTAATTCTTTTTTTTTTTATAATTTAAGTGAATACAATGTAGTATTTGTTCGTATTTTATCTTAGTCATTGATAACGTAAATACACCTATAAACATAATTATTCGAACTTAAAATCTCTAAAAATAATAATATTCTCTTTTAACTACCAAAGTGATAGATAAATTATGTGATTAATTCTTTAACTATGAATAATTCATGTATATGATGTGCTAGTTGAATACCAACTTGGAAATTAATAAATTTAAAGAGGGTGATGAGGCAAGTGGATGGTGCATGAATATGTCATCGTCCCATCCAAAGGATAAGGAGATAAAACGGAGATACTTTGTAGCTTTAGAAGATTTAGCCCTCAAACTTATAAAAAAAATATTTTAATCATTGGTTTTTTATTTTTCTTATTCTCAAATTTCATTTTTTTTTCAAATTGATTGACGAAAAAAGAAACAGATTTTTAATATTTTTTATATTTCATATAATGTATTCGATTTTTTTAATAATTTAAATATATTTTTAAATATGTTTTACAACTTTTTTATATTTTATGTTTTATAGTTATTTTAAATATTTTATTTTTTAATTTTTTTCATAAAAATAACAAAATAACTTGTGCCAATATCGATAAAAAATAAAATAATTGATTTTGATTTAATGAGATCAATATTTTTTTCATCAGTTGATTCAATATAATAAAAAATAGAAGTTTGAGAGTCAAAATATACGAAAAGAGTTTAAAAGATCAAATAACTTTTTAAGATGAATCAAGATGTTTGCGAATAAAACAAATTAGGTTAGGAGTGTCGTCTTTACCTCTACAATTATCAATCTAAATTAATCGATTAATAAATCGAATATCGGTGATTATACAAAAAAATATCCTTACTACTACAATAAGAATCAGTTAATACAATACACAAATAAAGTTACGATCATAATTAATACATCTATAATATATTGAAAAAAAATATTTTTATAACACAAATATTATAATATTATACATTGAGGATATATACTGAACTAATAATAATAACACAAATAATAACTAATAATATTATACATTCAAGTCTATGGAACGGTTTCGTTAATAAGAAAATATTATTCTTTCTTAAGTCTTAGACTCAAATAGTTACATCTATATGATATAAAAAATTAAAGACCTGTCATCAAATAATCGGTGTGGACTACTAATCGAATATATTAATTTTAATTAATAAAAAAAATTAGAATGTGAAAAAAAAAACTAAGGTTAAATATATACACACTTTACAATCAAATTTTAAAAAACACATTTGACCACATCAATTTCACGTGGCCTAAACTTGAATGTTTAATTGAAAGAGTAAAATTAGATACAGACGGTTATGCAGAACGTATAATAAAAAATAAATTTTCATATCAAAATTAAATATTATAAATTTATTATGAAAATATTTTTAATATAATTTAAAGGATGAATTTAAAATAAATATAATTTTTTAAATTGAAAATATTTTTAGAAGAATACTTTGTTTATCATTAAAATTAATGGATTCGATAT